GTGTCCTCTAGTCCTATTTTTGGTAAATGTCTAATTTTAAGTGCAAAAAGGTCAACATTAGGGTATAAAAAAATACTACGTTTTTATTTTGTTTTATATGTAACAAATACTCAAAAGCTAGATGTGTCAATCAATATTATTTATAGCAAAGACTCCTATCTTTTATTTTATAATGAATAAGACTCCAAATTTTATTTCTTTAGAAAAAAATTATGTGGTCCAAAATTGAGTTTAGCAAGTGACTTTTTGAATTCAGTATCCGATTTTGATACGTTATAAAACCAATACATTACTATGACAGAATTTTTTCCTCATGTTATTATGAATACAAAGTACAAACTTTTGAGTCACTTCATAAAATTGGTGGGACAGGTATATTGAGGGAAATAAAAGGAGTCAAATTCACCTATTATTTATGATTTTTCCCAAATTAAACCGATCCCGATCGGAATTATATAAAGAAGAAAATACTATAACTGTTTGTTAAATTTGGCTCTTTTGTTGTTACATAGTTCAAAATTTACTTTATTTATTTTTATACATGTCTTATAGATGGCAGTTCCTTTAGTTTGATAACTTTATAAATTTTGAATTATTTTCGATCGGGATCGGTTTTATTTCAATCAGGTGTGGTTTTTAGGAATATTTCCTAAACTTGGTTCTTCATTTTAATTTACCAGAGAAATAATATGCCTATCTTTGTTTCTTTTCAGTGAGTAAAATGTTTTAAATGATTTTGTCCATGTATTCAAATGTATATAAAATTATTTAAATTCATCATGTCTTTTACGTACATGATTACAGTGATGATAACAGTGTACATGTAAAACATCTTTGATTTCTTGATACTCGGTATTTTAAAAAAGTGTTTGTACATGCATTATGCAGCATCTGAGAGAAGACAGTTTAGCTTCATTAAATATCTTATTTCCAAGTAAAATTTTTTTCTTTCATTAATATTTTCTCGGGAATTAATAAGGAGTTAAATTATATTAGTGGCGCGTACCTAGTGTAAATACAGAAAATATTTTTATGTGTATAGTCTCGGGTTTATCCAAGTTTTTTCAACCTGTCATCTGTTAATCCTTTTCCCTATATATTCTCTTTAAAATTTTATTTTATGTAAATAAAAAAAGTTCTTTCATATATATCATTATTTAAGAGCCCATAAATCGCAAGCAAAAAGCAGGGGGGGGGGGGGGGCATCATGGCATCATTTTTTCAAAAACGGTTTCATGAATATAAAAACATTTTAGAATTGGCCAACATAGCCACATATTTTAACTCCATATTAAACGTGAGTATGTGAATTATTTCGATCTCCAAATTATATAAAAAAATAAAAAAAAAAAAACAAAAACGTTTCACTGAACCATCTTCCGTTTTAGTGTCAAATTGAAGTGGGGAGTTCAGCAGTAATCTTCCGTAATAAATATTATTGTAACTTATTTTTCGGGTTTTTTTGTTTTATATTTTTAATCGTTCGTACCGCTGCTTGTTTATTTTTATTTGACTCCATAGATAAATATATGAAAGATTTTACAAATATCATGAAGTAAACATCTCAACTTCGTTAAATTAAATTTTGGGTAAATCTAAAATATTCACGATTCCTTGATAATCAGAAGAAAAAAACTTTTACATCCCAATTACATAAGAAATGTTCAATAAAAACACTATCAAAATTAATTATTTTTGCGTATATCCTAGTATTAATAAAATGTATAAAATATAAAAAAAAATATTTAGCATTTTCTGATATTGCACTGTGTAGAGAAATTGTACAGAAAAGGAGAAATTACTTATTTCTAATTATTTTTCTTTGCACTTTTACGCAAAAGAATTTACAAACTTTTCTGGAAGTAACTATTTGATTGTGACGCAGTATTAGTCAGGTATATGACGTCACTGATACATCAATGGAAACGTGGATTCATCCTGAATAATACAGCTAATTTTTTATCCAAATAAATACGTCTGCAGGCGTAAATGACTTCTATTTTGAAAAGAAAGTAGTTATTTTTTGTTTAATAATTTTCTTTAGTGTATCAATTCTATTTTTTCACTAGGATTCCGATAGTAAGGCGTTAAGCAGATTTACCAACGCCACGGGAGATAACTCTTGCACTGCAAAATTTCATTAAAACGTCTATATATTTTGCCAGAAAACTAATTCACAAGTGTTTTTCCCACCGATTTTATTTTTGAAACATAAAGATGACATATTTCTTGATTTAGTTCAGCGTGAATTATAGTCCTGTTAAAAATGTATTGGAAGTTACAGTTCTTTGTTTCTGACCTTAATTCAATGGTTTATATAGGGGAACTCAATTACACGAAAGAAACGGATATTTTACTAAATAGGTAATTTTCAAACAAATCTTCGATTACATTATTCCATTTGGACTACATTGATATTGTTTTCAATAAAATATCACATATTCGTCACATTCGATGTGCCGCCTATCAATACAATACTGCCTGGTTTTTCGGTGGACTGCCTCTTAAATTTTGACACATGTGTAAGGCCAGAATTAAACTTGTCGTGTGAACAGGGCAACAGTTTGATAGGATTGATTAATTATATATTGTTTAACATCTCTCTGGAGAATTTTTTACTCATATGGAGACCCCAACACTTGCTGATGGAGAGCTTGTAAAATTTTAAACTATACTCAGCATTGGGGCCATTGAACAGTAGACTTTGTGCAAGCACCTACTGTGACATAGGAATTCTGCTTATATGGTCTCATATAAAGAATCGTTCTCCAGATCCTACATTGGAATTTAAACCCCCCAGTGTAAGGATAGACTCCTTACTTCAAGCTAAGCAAATGTTCTAACCTTTCGACTTAAGCAAATGCTCTAACCACTGCACCCTGCAGGCAACTCAAATTCGTAGGAAAATAATTTTTATCTGCTTTTAGACTTGAAATTTTTAATTGTACCTGAACCATAAACATGATATTTTGGTAAACTGTCAAGTTTATAATATAAAAGTCAAGGTCACTTGATTTTTAGTTCCATCTCAATTTCAATTTCATTGATATGAAAACTATGATGGTTTTTTTCCCCCCCAAGTTTGAGTTTTGATTTGCTTAAAACAAAATCATTTAATATGACAATGTGTACCTCTTTCAACAAATTCATGAATGGCTTTGGCTGCCATAATATTTTTGATAACGTTAGCATTTAACCCAGAATGATAATGTATACATACATGTAACAAGTAAAGTTTCTGTAAGGTAAAATGATTTGAGGTATACTTGGTGCTGAAGAAAATTTTGTGTATAATATTTCAGATGAATCATCATCCCAAGGAGTTAAGGTAAAGGATTCATGCATTGAATTGTTTAATCCAGAAGAATAAATGTAAAGCTAAATGGCAAATTAGTGGTGCAAAAAGAAAATTCATCAGCATACAAGGAGTTAAGGTAAAGGTAATTTTTAACACTAATTTTCCATCTACAGCATTGCTTTTCATGCATTGAATTGTTTATTATACCGAAACAAGCAATAATATTTTATTGAATGAACGTAAACTTTCAATATTCGGCACTGCTCTCAAATTCACTTTTAAAGGTAAAATTACTGAAACCCTTTGGCACATCACTAATGAATAATTTTGTGATGTAAACCAGGCTTCTTTGACGTTTACTTCTCTAGGGATTTTTTTTCAACGAACATAAATTATATTGTGGGAAAATGCATTACTTATCTGAAAAGATGGAATATGATTAAAAGCATGCTGACAACTGTGAAATATGAAGTTTTATGGCCCGATCATGTGATGATCTAGAACCAATCAGATAACGCATTGTGTAGATTAATAATAATGAGATGTAATAATATCTTATATACATGTATTCTTATTTTACAGAAAGGTAGGTTTGAACAGAGATTGGTGTGGCTCTATAAAGTACTACACACACTGTAGACAGACATGGGCTGTGGAAAACTTTTTAGCCACACCCCTCCTCCACTACTGCCCCAAGCAGAATTCCTTCTCATATGATGCATATCATATAAGAAATATGTTGGCAGTTTTAGACTACAATAACCATGTTGGAAGGGCAGTGCGTGTCACAGAGGATGGTCAACCCTATGCTCAAGCACAGGTGTCAAGACGGACCAAACAGTGGGTTGCCTATGAGAAGAAGTGCCCAAAAGACTTCAAATATATTCCAGGCAAGGATCCTTTTTAGTATTACAAATCCATTTTTATGGATTAGTAAAATAATTTTAGATTGATTGATATACATGTAGATATTGAAAGCCATAATATCCAAAGGATTTGACTTATCTTTTTTTCCCTATACATTGTAACTGCCCATCTATTATTGTTTGTTGAATAGCTTTAAAATGAATACCATATATCCTTCTTTTGTGGTGATCTATTTTTTGCTTTTTTTCTTATCATTTTTAATTAGCAAAATATTAAACACCCAGAAATTATTCCAGCTATAATGTAACATAAAAGCATTACACTTTTAAAAAAAAAAAAATCTTCAATCGTAAAAAATAACTTGCTCAAAATAAAAACTGTACTTATCTACCAATTTTCGCAAAATTTCTAACACACAAAAAACCCCGGATATACAGAATACTGGTATAACATGATTGTACAGTGTATTCTCTTTTTTAAATTCAGAACTGATGTCTGTGTGCTTAAGAGAGACGTATGGTAAACCGTTGTAAACCTACACGAACAGTGACAAGGAAATAAGTTTAAGGTCTTCTCAGCCTAACCTCTCTGGAATGATCACTCCATCCTCAAAGACTCTCTTAGCATGTATGAAAAGCAGGAAAAAATAAGGTAATGCATGTTGAATTTTGGTTGGTAATTTATAAGCAAATACTCTTTGTAACTTGATGTGTAATAAATCAATTTGGATAGCATTGATATAGATATAACATAATTTAACAAACATCAATCATTCAATATATCATATGGGCCCAATAATCATAACTATGTCTAAACATAAGTAGGTACATGTTGCTCAGTCAGAATCTGAATATGCAGAATGGTACCCAGTGTATTGTCTGTTACTCTGGGGGAACCTAAGGCGAACTGTATGTGTTACACAGGCTGGTACTGGAATGCGTCTTCCAGCACCAAGACGGCCATGTTGCCACAAGATAAAGTTTCTGTAAGCCTGGTTTCTAAATTTGGACATGCAAAAGCTAGGGTCCTGGTTGGTTTGGAAGCTCCAATTCAAGATGTTGGCAATCTCCAGCACATCATGCCTCAAGCAGAGATTGCGGAAATCAGGCTTTGATGTAACGCATGAAGATTGCCTGCAGCAGATGTTCATGCGGGGGTCCTCATAAATCTGACATCCTCCACATGAACACCATGGCACACTTGAATTGGAGCTGCCTGAAACCTGTCCAGAACCATGTTGCTGTCCAATTATGAAAGGCTGCATTAATTCAGGGCAAGCTGTAATAGCTCTCTTCAGCCTTGTCCTCATTTCATCTGCGGACATGTTGTCAACTGCAGCCTAAAAGTAAAATTGAATATGACAGTAAATGTTTTGAACATTAAAAGTTACTACAGCAAAACTCTTTTAATTTGAACACAGATACCAGGTTTTGCAAATTTACGGATATAGCGAAGTCATCTTGGATCCCCAGATATATAAATTTAGTGACTTTCTTATACGATTATAACGAATTACGGATATAGCAAAGTAATTTTACAGGTCCCAGCGATTTCGCTCTAACCGAGTTTTAATGTACATGTATATGAATACTATGACAATATATCTAAGACTACCATGAGATTGACACATTCCACCTCATCTCTTGTATTTTCAGGAGATGCCTGGGCTGCCATAACCTCATTCCTGCTGGGCTGGTCTTCATTCTTGGCATTTCGTGCACTATTTGCAGCATATGGATGGAGACGAACCTGAAAGAGAAAATGTGAAAGATTCAAAATAATAATATTCCCTTTCGATCTAGGAGGACCTCAACGTGGTGGAAGGGTGAACATCATAAAATAGATGGCCAACACTCCTAGGATGAACGCCAAGTTGTAACACTTACTGTAGCATTTGTCTTAAACTGACATATCGGATTCATGCAATTAGTGCAGCCTCTCCTTTTGCAGGCACAGCTCTTCCATTTGCCTCGATTTTCACAAGGACAGCATTTCTACAAGAAGGAAAGCATTCAAGGATATTTTTAAAAACAATTTCATATTGTAAGTGCTTTATAAAACATACCAGGTAATAAATATTAAACAAGAGACTGTGTATTTTAATATTTTCATGATGATTAAAACAAAGGTGTTAGGCCAAGCTTAAAAATGTTTGCATTGCCTACCTATAATATCTAGGGAGGGTAGGTAAGAAGATTTTTTTGCACCTTTCACATTTTCAGTGCATAACAAAAATTGGTGCACTGAACATAAAAAAGCCCCACTTATTAGAAACCAGTGATTGAAAATGAAAAAATAAAAAACAGAAAATGAAAAAGTTTCAATATCCCGAAAACTTGAAAAGAAATTTGGGTCATTCCTTTTTTTAGTGGATTGGTAGGCAATTGCAAACAAATTTTTATTGAAGGCCTAACATTTATTATTTAAAAGCAAAGGTGTAAAATATATTACATAGATCTGTACACATAGGCAGGTCCAGGAATTTTTTATGGGGGAGTCTACTGTATAGTTTGAAAGTTTTTTCATCCAGTTGCAACCCTTTATTATGGTGTAACCCCCTTTATTTTAAAATTTATGTGTAAAATGTAAAGATTTCAAAGACCTTATTCAGAATTTCATTTTTTAAAAAGTGAATAAAAATAAAATTACATTTAAAATCATAATAAATGTGGAAAGGAAACAAATTTTAAATTGAAATATTTTTTTGTTAAGAAATGATGACAATTATGAAATTGTGTCTTTTCACAGTATAATACCCCTGCAGGTACAGTTTTAGCATTCAATCATCACATTTTGTTGAGTATCCATTTGTGACCTAAAAACATCTTGAATTTCTATAAAATACAGGGCTAATGGTAACTTAAATCTTTGGTGCCACATTATCTTTAAGGGGAAGATGATGAATTTCAATAGTAAAAACAACTCTAAGGAATTTTGAGTTGAAACCCTATAAAAACTTCCTAACTTGGTCCAGATTCATTTTTTTAAAATCATTGCTTCCTTGTTACATTAGAGATCAACCAAAATTAGTTACATAAGGAAGCAAGGTGTCTGAAAGTCCTGACCCAATTTAATCCCCCTCCTCCAAATAGTTGATACCAAGATTTAATTTTATATTAAAACAACACTCTTTTAATAAAGATTGAAAATTTATTAAATAATATGACCTAAATATGAAAACTGCAAATATTTTATACAAGGGAACAAATGCAAAGAAATGATTGCAAAGTTAAAGAACCCCTCGAAAAAAAATTATTGCAAATGACTTCTTTTGTAAAGTTCATAAATACTTTAAATCAATCTTGGTATTCCTTTTCTCTTATTTCATATGTTTGTTGTTTTATTCATTTGACTTGCAATAATTCAGTGAAATGACAATTAACTCGATATTTGAAACAAACGGATTTTCAATTACTATTCACATATGAAAAAAGGTGAAAGAATATATTTGAATTTGAAGTGTCATCATTTATACAGGTTGGGACCAATTGCCCAAATGGGATATAATAGTCCGTTTGGGATATAATATCCCAATTGGGCTATAAATTTACAATGCAAAAAATGATGCGGATTTATGATATTTATTTCCAAAATAAAAATTTTCATTTTTTTGCACTGTAAATCTATAGTGCATTTGGATATTATATCCCAAACGGACTATTATATCCCATTTGGGCAATTGGTCTTAACCTGTTATATAGTCTTTCAGGTTGTCTATCTATAGAATATATTTTTAACTTTAGTTTAATAATTACTTCTTAAAAGTTCAATGAATAGAAAATTATAGGTGTATAGAAAAAGAGAGAATACATTTCATAATGCAAAACTTGAAGAAATGGAGCCGCCTATATATTTATATTTTTTTACTTTCAATTTCACACACAATAATGACATCTCCCTTGTCAATGTTTAGAGAGCGCTTGTTTTATAGACCAAGCGCAAAAACCGACCCTGATTTCATTGTTGTGTTCGAATGGATTACGTGCACAGAGAAGGTGTTGTGGTCACATATTACTTTGTCTTTGTACTGACTTTTTATTTATCTTATACATGCATTTATGCATGTTTGTATGTCACTGACCTGTGCAACTTCTGCCATGGTTCTTTGGTAGCTCTTTTGTTACGTATCTGGCAAACGCGTACAAATGTTACTGTCGATTTGGAGTACAAAGGCAAGGTAGTATTGATCTACACAGGTAGAATCTGAAACGCGAAATGCATTGAACCGTGGCGCGGTTTGCCGCTTATATAGCAGTTCCAAATCTGAATCAAATGAGAACTAAAATGGCGGATTTAAAGAGAAATATGGCGGACAACGATAAATCTCTTTCTTTTACGAATCGTGTTCAGCTTTAAAATCAGACCAAAACTGTAGAAGGAGTAGCGTTAAAGAATTTCAGAGAAAATTCTATTTTTAGTAACCATGGCAACACCGTTCATCGACATCAAAAACCGATGCACAATTTTATGTATCTTAGTGTAGTCTACTTGTATGCTAAGTAATACTGAAATCAGACCAAATCTGTAGAAGAAGTAGCGTTTTTAAAGGAATTTCAGAGAAAATTCTATTTTTAGTAACCATGGCAACACCGTTCATCGACATCAAAAACCGATGCATAATTTTATGTATCTTAGTGTAGTCTACTTGTATGCTAAGTAATACTGAAATCAGACCAAATCTGTAGAAGAAGTAGCGTTTAAAGGAATTTCAGAGAAAATTCTATTTTTAGTAACCAAGGAAATACCGTTGATCGAAATCAAAAACGGATGCCCTATTTTATGTATCTTAGTGTAGTCTACTTGTGTGAACAAGTTATATTAAAATCAGACCAAAACTGTAGGAGGAGTAGCGTTTTGAAAAAATTGTTTACAGACAGACGGACAGACAGACAGACAGACGGACGACGGACACCTTACTATCGCATAAGCTCTTCTGGTCTCCCTGACCAATAGAGCTTAAAACCACTATGCACAACTTCAATCCTTCTATTATCTAAAATCAGTAGAATTTTTGCTCCAGCTTTAGCTGTCTCTGAGCCTTTGTCTGGAAACGAAAGCCTATAAATTTTCGTTTGAAGGGAAATAACTCAAAACCGGAAGTGACTATTTGAAATTTTAGATAGCATTCTGATAGAGTTTAGTAACGTCTATCAACTCTGAAAATTTGAGCAAAATCCATCGAGAAGTGAATGAAATATGAGGCCTCAAGAGTTGGCGTCTAGGAAAAGGAAAAAAAAAGAATAATAAGAACTAGGAGACTTATTGTTCACAGAACAATAAGAGGTCTTTGTCCACCCTTTTCTTTGAATTTCAAATTTGTTTCATATCTGACTCCTAAAAATTAAATTCCATGAAAAAGAAACGAAAACTCTCTTAAACCATAGAAAAAATGAAAATTAAAAAAAAATGACCTTGACGTTTGACCTTGAAAAAAATATTCAAGGTCAAAAGTCAAGGGTCACAGTGCAATTGAACCCATGCTTCTATGACTTAAAGTTTTCAAGTTATAAGGTTTAAAAGTAAGTACAAAGAAGTAAAGGGCAATAACTCATACAAGGGGTCATCAGATGCTTTTGCACTTTTACATTGAAGTTAGGCCTAAAGACCCTGAGGACATTAGTGAAGGTTTGGTGTCTCTACGGTCTACGGTTACGGAGGAGTAGCGATAACAAGGTTTTTCGCACAATGGGAAATAACTTTTAAAGGGGTTAATGTTAGGGGACAAGAAGGAAATCTTTGAAACAGTTTTAAGAGTACATACTAATGATGCATAGACATTACGTATATGTTGAAAGACAAAAGAGATATAAAAGAGCTAAATTTCTCATTTCTGGAATGACCTTGACCTTTGACCTTTACATGAATTTTAAGGTCAAAGGTCAATGAATCTTATGCAGTTGGTCCCATGTCTCTACAACTTGTCGTTTTTAAAAAAATTAATTACTTGTTAGATTCAAAAAGTTTCAGGGGCAATAACTCATTGAAGGGGTCACCGAATGCTTTCGCAATGAATAGATTGAAGAATGTCCTTAATTAGTCAAAGACATTGGTGAAGGTTTCATACCCCTATGGTTTAAGAATTTTTCGAAGGAGTAGCGATAACAAGCATTTCTTTCGAAAGGGGCAATAACTTCGAAAGCGGTCAAGGTTCATTTATGCAGGGTGAACTGCAATAATCTTTTACGGATACATTTCTTATGGACTATAAATCTGTCCGAAATATAAATCTTGAAACAAAAAATCACACGGCGGAAAAATAATAATAATGGAAAAGAAGAAACAGAAGGAAATCAATAGGTCTTTCCACAGAAAGGTGGAAAGACCTAATAATCTTAATCATCAGAATCAGTAGAAGGTCTTCCGTTGGAAACGGAAGACCTAATTAAACACAGATATGTGATATAGGCCTATAATATCTTCATTAAAATAAATCAAATAAATGCTCATGACCAGACAAGAAGAAGTTTTGAATTGAAAAAAATAATAATACATTTTTACAATTTATTCAACCGAAACCCTACCTATCACCAGAACCCATGACATCGCGGCTATGAATTTCAGAATTTTGATAAAGGGATCGATGCTTATCACAATCATGTCAATAGTTTGACTGCTCGATATGGAGTATGGAAGTAGATTTTTAAAGTATGAATTTAACCCCCTTCCCCGCAGTCACGCATTTTAACGCATATACTGTTTTTTTTTTTCCTATTTCTAACGCTAAATCACGGATATACATGTACTGTTTCCGTGCAATCACGCATATTAAAGCATTTTAAATGGTTCATTTAATCTTTCATTGCATGTCAATTTCCTTCTATTTTTTTTTATACTTAGTAAAATCTCACAAAAAAAGTAATTTTCTTATTAAATATTAAGTCATAATAGTATTTACGCTAAACTTTAGTGAAACTTGTACCGT